AATATATATAATTTTTTCCCCTTTTTGTATTAGTTAGCCAATCAGAACAGAGGTCTTTTACATATCAAGTCCTAAAGGTATGAGCAGCACATTTGAGGTACTCATGAAGGTACGATCGTGCAGTTAGGTACAATGCGTTTGAAATCCTTTTACTGAGTGTATATGTATACATCTCATCATATGTTGCATGTAAATGTCTAAGTTTACCTACATTTGCAATGGACCTGATTCTGTCTTTTTCTCCACAGTTTACCACAGCTTATAGAGATTGTAGGACGCATCAACGTCACCTCATCCACCTGTGTGCACGAGTTCTCCAGGTTCTTCTGGAGATTATGCCGAACGTTTGGGAAAATCTTTACCAACACTAAGGTAGGACAGGTCAAAGACATTTGCCGTACAGTAATCTCTCTCTAGCACCTTTTTTCATGTACTTTTTTTATATTTGACCAAGTGAAGTAGCTAAATAAAGCTTGTGCTGCAAACCGTTCCAACAGTTTCAGTTTAATGTAGATGTTGTTTTCCCCTCATTTTTGAAGGTAAAACCTCAATTCCAAGAAATCCTGCGGCTATCTGAGGAGAATGTGTGTGAGTGACTGTTCACTTAACCAAAAATAATACTCCCGCTGTCAGAGGAGGTGCTGGGAAGAGAGCACACACATACACTCTTCGTCTCTGTATCTCTTTCCCATGCTAGAGGCTTGTGTGTCAAATATGTGTTTTCACTCTTCATGGGATTTGGAAATGGAGCTTTTTCTTTCATTCTTTGAATGTTTGTTGAGTTAAAAAAAGTCTATGGTTAAAGTATCTGCCAACAAAACTGGGCATGTTGTATCATTGTAATGGTTTGAAATGAATTTAGCTAAATTATTACCAGATGAGTTGAACTAATTCTTAACCGAGTGTTCAGTTATATGTTTAGAGATTGTAACACAGATTGTGTCCTGCAGACGCCTCCGCAGGAAACGGCATCCTTACAAAGGCTACGGTGCCGATCTATGCAACCGGAGTCCTGACGTGCTACAATCAGGTAGGAGCTTCATTGTACGCCAGGTGTGTGATGTCTCAATTCAGAAAAAGCCTCTCTCTGATGAAGTTGTTCGTTTCAGGAGGAGGACCGTAAACTCTTGGTTGGCTTTCTTGAGGATGTCATGACCACGCTCTCTCTCTCCCATGCTCCTCTTGACAGTCTAAAGGCTTCATTTGTAGAGCTGGGGTGAGTGTCTGTCAGCACTGTTAAATCTGCATGAGCTCATCTGAGGCTGCAATTCCTTTAAGCTGATGTAAAATGACTTGCTCTCGAGTGTCGTGACCCCACCGTTGAGAGTACCTGTCAGTTTCTATGCTTTATTAATTCATCCATTTGAAAGTAGTAGTTCACACAAAAGTTAAAACCGTCATCATTTACTCCCCCTCGTGCTATTCCAAATCCATATGATTTTATTTTATTGGAACACAGAAGCAGATGTTTAACTGTAACCAGAGGCTGTCAAGCTCTAAAAAATGCAATTAAAAATGCGATCTCAGATATAAGATCTCATACTTTGCAGGGTGAGATTTATTTATTACTGTAAATATATAACTTTATATTTATCTTATTAGCTTTACATGTAACATTCATAATATATTATGTAATATAATAATATTAATAATATCATATAATTGTATTTATTTGAATTATTTGTAATTATTTATTTATTTATTCTTTTTTGCATTATAACATGCTTCTGACATCCTTTTACACATTTAAAATTATTATCATTTTATAATTATTTTAAGAATTTTATTTAAAGTATTTTTTATTATTTTATTATTTCAAGTGTTTTAGATATATATTCATAGTTTTAAAATTATTAGGAAAAATATAATTACACAAAATGTGTTTTACACATTTATATTAATTTGACATTTATAATTGTATTTTATGATTTCATCGTGTTAACATTTTGAAAATATAGTTTATTACACAATTTTTACTCAGATTTTTTTGTTTGTTTTTTTGATGTTTGCAATTGTATTTTATTTAAAAATGATTACAAATAAAAATTTGCCATAATAGCTGGAAGTTGTACAGTTATTTAAGAAACTTCCAAGAGCAGGAAATTCAACTTTTTTCTGCAAAACATTACAAATTGTTTTGTCTTGGGTTTTTTTTCTTCTTCTTATTGATCGCAAGTAATTCTTGCAATTTCGACAGTTTCATCTACAGCTGTGGCCAAAATTATTAGAACACTAGTATTTTCACCAGCTAAAAATGGATTTAAGTAAGGTTTTTCTATCCTTTGCTGTAGTGTGTTTCTCACTTTACAGCATTTTTACACAAGTGCCTAAAACTTTTCACAGTACTGTAGCTTTGCAGGTAGGTTTCTTGAAGCATCTTGGAAACGTTGCCACAGTTCTTCTGGATTTAGTCTGTTTTGAAACCGTTTTTTAGCTGGTGAAAATACTAGTGTTCTAATCATTTTGGCCACCACTGTATATTAGCCAGTAAGCTAATATTAGCTAATATTAAAGGAATAGTTCACCCAAAAATGAAAATTCTGTCTTTAATTACTCACCCTCAAATTTTTCCAAACCCGTAAGACCTACCTTCATCTTCGGAACACAAATGAAAATATTTTTGATTGATTCCATAGACAGCAACGTAACTGACACGTTCAAGGCTCAGAAAGGTAGCAAGGACAATACAGTATAGTCCAGAATTTTCATTTCTGGGTGAACTATCCCTTTAAATGTTCAAGTTAATATAAACTTAATACTAAAGTTTTAAATGTAATACTGAAGGTTAAAAGGTTGACAAGCGGAACCCATTCTAAACCGAATGTCACATAAAACCAAATGTTTACATTTGCAAGACATAAACACTCACATACCGGCCCGAGGCCAGTAGGTCATCCTTGAAGTTGAGCCCCGCATAAACCTACAATAATGATTTAAGCACTTGAGTACAAAAATAACATGTCCCAATTTGTTCGACTCCCGTATCCTGATGATCTAATGCAGCAGACGTTTCATGCTAATGGCACTCTAACTGACTAGAAGATCAGGTTTAGTAGGATCATCAGCTGTCATTTTGTGATTACCCACTAAAACCGTTACTTCCTGTCTCCAGGGCAAACCCAGCGTATCATGAGCTTCTACTGATGGTGCTTTGGTATGGAGTGGTCCATACATCTGCACTGGTACGCTGCACCGCTGCACGCATGTTCGAGGTAAGCCCTCCCTCCAATTCCCGCTTCAAACATTGACATGCATAGTTTACTTAGCCATAATGTTAATAAATACTTCCAATGTCCTTAAGTTTATGTTTAAAGACATTAGCATCCTCCAGGCCAGTCAAATGATTAGTTTTATTACCTTATGCTTTGTTTTGAATGCAAATTTGCTGTAATATGATGTTAATGGTTGGTGTGAGGTGGTAAACATGTATTTTCAGAGCTCTCCACACTCCCTCTAGGGCCCCCTTGTGCCTTGTCATCCCTGTTACCTGTCAGATCACTGAATGTTTACTTGTATTTAAAGTCGTTGCAGCTTTAAAGCATCCGTACGTCTTTTGCACCACAGCACGCTTGCTATTGCCATTCAAAAATGATGTAACGACCCCCACATTTCATCCCCTCACCCCGTTGTAAGTCGGTAATGAAGGTTCGAGGAGTGTTCAGAAACTCTTCCATGTGAGAAACCCCCTTCTCCTCATCTGTGGTCGTAGCTTTAGTTAAATTTGCCTGGCCTCTTTAGCCCTTAATTTGTATTTCATTTATCTGTGTAGCGCCTCCTTGGGCTTCTGTCATGTTTTTCGTTGTATGTCTGCGCTGTTTTTTAGTTTGTTACCGTTGTTTCTTTTTTGTGTTCTTTTGTTTCTCTCTCTCTCTTTCTCTCTGCGGTGTTCCATGACACTGTGCTCGCTCTTTCCATGCATCCTGTGTGACATCACCCCTGCTCTGACCAATCAGCTGTTGGTGAAGGGGGTGAATGAAACTCTAGTAGCTCAGAGAGTTGTTCCAGCACTTATCACTCTCTCCAGTGATCCTGAAATGTAAGTCTCCTCCTGCCTCCTTCATCCATGCACCTCCCTCCGCCTTGGTTCTCTCAGGAGGCCACAACTTTATTAGCCCCTCCTCCAGCGAGCACCGCCTACCTGAGCCAAGATTTAAGTGTTTCACATTAATATGTCGAAAGAAATTAATGTCATGTTAAAAATATTGCAGTTGAAACAATGAAATGTCACCTTAAAATAAAAATAAATAAATAGATGAGGATCATGAATATTTTCTCCATTATGATTTTATAATTTTCATCACATTGAACCAGGTTCTCATTAACATAACGTGGGGAGAAAAATCTCATTCAAATAACTGTAATGCATTAAAGGGTTAGTTCACCCAAAAATGAAAATTAGGCTGCGTTTTACTCACCCCCGAGGCATCCTAGGTGTATATGACTTTCTTCTTTCAGACGAATCCAGTCGAAGTTATATTAAAAATTGTCTTTGATCTTTCAAGCTCTATCATTGCAGTCAGTGGGTGTTGCATTGCTTCAGTCCAAAAGAAGTTAAATAAAAAGCGCCCATGCATAAAAAAAAAACATGCATAAAAAAAGTGTCTCACACGGCTCCGGTGGGTGAACAAAGGCCTCCTGTAGCGAATCGATGCGTTTTTGTAAGAAAAAT